AGTTAATCCTTTCGCGTCAAGCAACGATCTCGTAAAATTTCATCGGCCTTTTATAATCCTTATGACCAAATTGCGAAACGCTAATAAACGCTTCCTTTTCTCTCTCTCTCTCTCTCTCTCTCTCTCTCTCTCTTTGTGTACGTATATGTGTATATATCTCATGCATGCGAGAACATTGGGCACTTTTACGACATAGCCTTGTAAAGACATAAAAAATAAGGATACTCCAGGAAATGCGACCCCGTATCTCGGATGATCCTTTCAAATTCTCGCCGTCGATTACTTTACTGCCTCGTTTATCGCGCGCGCGCCAGACCGAAATAAAGTTTAAAGGCGCATAACGCACGAGAATTCTCTGTGCCGTGAATTCGCGCACATAAGCCCGATCGTATAATTGTTTAGGAAGACCTCGAGAATGCCGTCTTTACGTTTTTATTTAAAAATAAAAGAAAGAAAAATTTACTCTTTACTTTTTCTCTCTTGCTCCTCCCTCCTCTTCTCATGCTCACTCACTCACTCTCTCTCTCTCTCTCTCTCTCTCTCTCTTTCTCTCTCTCTCTCTCTCTCTCTCTCTCTCTTTCTCTCTCTCGAGGAAAAACGTCGAACTTAACACAAAATTTATTCTGTTCTATTCTTCGTCATATGACGAGAAAAATCTAATGGTCACCATAAATAAGAGAAATGATTATACTTTAAGAAATATCAAATATATCAAAAATATATCAAAAATCATATATCTTCGCTTTAGCAAAACCAAGAATTCTCGGTTTTTTTTTTTTTAATTTTTTATTTTAACTTACCGTGGGCTCTAAGAATTTGTGATGATGAGTCGTTGAAACGCTTTAAGCATCTTGAATTCCCGTGATTCTGTTCCGGCCACTCGACCTCGAACTCTTGAGGCAGATGTTAGTCTTTTGCTCTTTCTCCATGTAGTAGAGATGATAGCACTACAGTCCGCAGGATCTTTCACAATTATATGATATCGTTCTAACGTTGAATTTTTTCTTTTTTTTCCCCCTTTCTCTCTGCCTCTCTCTCTCTCTCTCTCTCTCCTTCTCTTTTTCTTTCTCTTTTTTTTTTTTTTGATAAAACTTTTTTAACTCACAATAGAAATTAAAATCGAACAAGACAAATCACGTTTTAAAAGATTTTTCTTAAGTTATACGCATACATATGTATGTACGTCTCTACCGATGAGAAATTAATACGCAAATGACATTCTATTTGATATAAACGGCGAAGATATTCTCGGGAATGTTTACAACGACGTTACTTCTACAGTATATGTTCTTTTTTTTTCTTTTTTTTTTTTTTTTTTTTTTTTTCCATACACATACCTATAGTCGCCGTGGAAAGTATGTTGACGCTTCAAAAATAGGTATTTTGTCATAAAAAGCAATCTGTTTATATTATTGTTTTTTTTTTTTAAGTTCTAGTTCACGTACTATTTACTTACGTATTGTTTACTTTCATCACCTTATCATGTAATTTGAATCAGACTATTGTAAGAAGTAAACGTATAATTCTAAATTTATATAAGAAATTCATGCGGAAAGTAAGTTGATACATATCATTACAAATATTTTTACTTTTCTTTCCAAAAACAGATCGTTTTTCTTTATAACGTTACGATCGAAACGATCATTTGTATCAGTCAATAATTAATTGCTTTAATTGTAATTTGTACCTGTTAATACATCAAATCGTTTAAAACGCGTAACACGATGATTACATATGTACATTTATTCGTAGCAAAATGAAACATTTTTATTAAAAATTTTTATACACGTATAAAGCGTTTAAAAAAATAGAAACGATCTATAAATATATTTTTATATATTCGAAGAGAAAAAAATTTATTCGTAGCAAAAAGAAACATTTTTATTAAAAATTTTTATACACGTATAAAGTGTTTAAAAAAAGTAAAAACGATCTATAAATATATTTTTATATATTCGAAAAGAAAAAAAAAAAAAGAAAAAGAAATATCGAGAAAAAAGATAATAACCGCGAATACGAAATTATAGTTGATACATTATTGTATAAAAACTATAGAATAATATATTATAAATTTAAATGATATTTTTTACCTTGTTGATTATGCAATAATTAATAATAAACTTTCAGTGGTGTATATATATATATATATATATATATATATATATAAAACGAATAATAAAGAACCTGAGTAAGTTCACGAGAATATAGTTTCGATATTATAATTAATACATAGATATGTACATATATATTCGATGAAAAGTATATCCTGTTATAATTAAGTGTATAAGTATAAATAGATATGTATATTAGAAAAATAGTTTCAATGTACTAATCTCATTTGTAATATCTTTGTGAGAATTTATATCAAAAAGGGAACATACCGAAAAACTCGGCATCGATATTTTCGGCAAGAATACTGAGGGGAACATCAAGATCGGTAGGATAATGAGACGACGTCGGTTCGAGTTCGGTTAACATCGTCTTCGTCGTCCTCGAGGATCGTCGTGACCACGTTGGTGTCGTGGTCGTTCGTCGCAGTCGCTAACCACAGGGACCTGTAGGTCCTGCCAACGACTTTTTATACTGGATTTCCATATAGGGAAAGATCCGATGCGATACGATACGCCGACGAGTCGCGGATGTTGCAACGAAAGGGGAGCAATATATACATCTTTGCGTCGTCGGTAGAGACAGAGTAGAAAGACAGAGAAAGAGAAGGAGAAAGAGAGAAAGAGAGAAAGAGAGAGAGAGAGAGAGAGAGAGAGAGAGAGAGAGAGAGAGAGAGAGTTCCACCTTTTCGCATACGAAAAGGGATACCGCTTTGAGAATCTGGAAGGACTGATCCCTCCGAACATTTTTTGCAACGTACGACAACAACGACGACGACGACGACGACGACGACGACGACGACGACGACGACGACGACGACGACGACGACGACGACGACGACGACGACGAACGACGACGAACGACGACGAACGACGACGATCGATCTGAAGTTTACGCTATCGTTTCTTCTTTCGTTCTGGCCCTTCGAAGAACGCGAGAAATCAATGTATCGACGTAGATTCCCTCCATGGTCGTCCTATTTCGAGATTGATCGATAATATAAAGGAAATCGAAGTTAGAACATAGATATATTCCAGTTTCTTCTTATTCATCGTCATTATCTTCGAGTTTCATGAGGCAGCATCGATCATATCTATAGAAAACTATTGTCTTCCTAATGAATCGTGTCGTTCCTAGCGCTAGATCGTACGTCATAACTTCCTTTATCTTTCTCTTTATCTCTCTTTCTTTCTTTCTTTCTTTCTCTCTATCTCTCTCTCTCTCTCTCTCTCTCTCTCTCCTTTTCTTTTTTTTTCTCTATAACATAATCGCTCGGGTTTCTCGATGAAGAGTATTAATAATGTAAGAAGGCACAGGTCGATCGTCGATCGGCCGTCGAGCGGACCGCTCGATTAATTTATTATTCGACGTACTTACCTGGCTCGCGTTATACATATAAATACGCACACATAAATACATATATACATACATATATACATACATATATACATACATATATATATATATATATACATACATATATGCATACACGATAGACGTTTCACGTAGAGTCGGGAGATCTCGCGAAGACGCCATTGGACCAGCTGTCTTCATATTTCAGCGTACCGCCGGCGCGGCATTAAAAGCGTGCATTAACCCGCTCTCTCCGCGAGAAACATTCGTTCCCTTGACTGTTGCCTTTCCAAGTGTTGGTGGGTAACGCGATATTAATAGGACACGTTCGGTAGCCCAACAACTACGACGACTACAACGACGACAACGACGATGTCGAACGAGAAACGATTTAAACATTCCGTTGTAACTACCGGCTGGTTTCTAAGAAGAAAGAAGGTGATGATGTTGGTGGTGTTAGTGATGTTGGTGATAGTAGTAGTAATGTAGGGTGGGGGAAGGGGGGGGGAGGAGGGAATAAGTAAAAAGTGAAAAAGAAGGATTATTTTCCTTTGGTCTTTACCTAGAGATATGTTTGTAAACGTGTGTATTGGTATATAGTACGTAAGTACGTAACTACGTATATAAAAGCAGCGCGTGCTAGAAATTACAGCGTCCACCACCGATGACTAATGGGAAATTCACGCAGCCGTTAATGTACCGTATCGTTATCACCTTACAGAGCCGACTAAAGTCACCGAGGATATCCGGCTGCGATTTACCGGCTTGTGCGCTGCCGCCTGGCCGTTCTTTCGATCGGCGGAAGGGACAAGAACTAAGAAGAAAGAGAGACAGAGAAGTGGGAGTGAGTAAAAGAGTGAGTGAGTGAGTAAGTGAGTGGGAGGGAGGGAAGAAGGAAAAGGGAGAATGAAAAGGAAAATTCGCCATTTACGAAATGAATAAATTTTAAAAAGTTAAATTTTTAAAGTTAACGACTATCTTGTGGATGTTTTATTTTTAACGAGATGCACAAATTCCAAAGATTTTTCTTTCTTCTTCTTGTTCTTTTTTTTTTTTTTTTTTTTTTTTTTTTTTTGAAAAAATAAGAAACAAATTTTAAACAAAGAAACGTAGACATTTTTTACAAAAAAACAAAAAAAAAAAAAAAAAAAAGAAAGGAAACAGAAAAAGAAACAGAAAAAAAAGTAAAAAAAAAAGTAAAAAAAAAAAAAAAAAAAGTTGTAATCGCGACGTCCTTGTAAAGTCGTAAAACAATCTCGAGTTGGAATTTATTAGCGATTATTACAAAAGTCGTTAACGAAAAGAGTGCTCGTGATCCGGCTGATGGCGCTCAGGAATCTGGAAGGAACTGTTATGCAGTGATTGTACGGTACGGTAACGAAAGGAAGGAAGGGGTAAAAAAAAAAAGAAAAAAGAAGAAAATAAAGGGGAAGAAAAAAAAAGAAAAAAGTGGAGAAAGAAATAAAAAAGGAACAAAAAAAAAATATTAAAAAGAACAAATAAAGATAGGAATCCGCAACGGGCTACCGATCACGTATCAATTAAATTCCGTGTAGCAATATGCAAGCAATCACGTTTCCGCGTGTTCTCGTATATAAGATCGGTGATTTGAATTGTTTGTGATCACGCGCGAGTTTCTCGTCCACAACTGGCTGTTATATGAGATACAAAAATATATATCACGATCATTCGTGTCACGCTGTCGTCTTATCTCACTTTTCTTTTTTTTTTTTTCTCTTTTTTTTTTCTTTTTCTTTTTTTTTTTTGTTTTCTCCTATCGTCGAATAACCCAAAAGAACACATGCGTAGAAATTGGACGACGTTAGCAAGCATGCAAGCAAGCAAGCAAAGTGAGTACGTCCTTTGACGTTATGCTTCGTCGAGTCTTGATTATTTTCGTTGATACGATAAATATAAATCGAAAGGCAAAGCAAAATATAATTTAAGATGAAGTTTCCACTTTTCCAGAAGTAATCGGAGTCGAGAGATCGATAAGAAGAAAGTCGTCGATTATCGTCCATATACAATCTACGATATATTTTTGGAAAGGATCATCGGCGTTTCGTACTTAACACAACTTTACGTTTTTCAGAGCGTGTCATCGGGCGGTGATAGGCGAGCGTTGTGCTTCAACGTTTTCACCGTGTTCGATTTATTACATCCGGTTTATGCGCGATCCAGCTCCAGGGAACACCTGCGTATAAGCTCTAACCAAGCGTGTATCTATATGATAGCATATGTGTGTGTATATATATATATATATATATATATATATATATATATGCTTACATACGTTCATGAAGCTATAAGATCCTTTTCGATGTTTTACTCTGGTTGACAAATAATTCAAATCTGACTCAGAAAAATAAGATTTTTCAAGTAAATAAGTAAGTAAGTAAATAGCTTTTAAAAAACTTGACGAAGGTCTACATAGATTATAAAGAATATTTGTTAATAAAATTCGAATTATTGCGAATGATCGAACAATTAAAAAAATCAGCTTTGTTCTTTGACACGCATGGCTCGTGAGAGAAAGAGATTACGGTGTCAATTTCAGAGCACGTACCACCTGCCGAGGCTGACTTTCCTTTCCTGATTCGACCTTGGATAGAAGGTAAGACAAGCGCCCCGTTTATACTCTTACAACTGTGTGCCTTTCGATAAGCATTCGATCGATCGTACGATCGCGAGAAAAATAGAAAGACCAAAGGGGACCAAACACTAGCGATGTTTCTCTCTCTTTCTCTCTCTCTCTCTCTCTCTCTCTCTCTCTCTCTCTCTCTCTCTCTCTCTCTCTCTTTCTATATCATCATCCGT